TAGTCGACTTAGACTGTACATACCCGTAGAAGGCCTTGGGGTAGTGCATTGCTTTCTTGGCCAGGGAAAGCTAGAAAGCTCTTTTGGCATCCAGGAGGATGCAGTCGAAAGACTTTCGTCTAAGATAGCCGCCTGTGGCACAGGGTCGTTGCCCTGCGGCCCGCTTTCCACCAAGGGCTTTTTTCATTCGGCTGGACCACCAGAGCGGGATGGTCCATGACCTAAGGGGATACGGAGGTGCGGAACTATTGGTGAGATTCAGCAGGTTATCCTTGATCAAATCCCACGACTCCCCAGTCCCATAGTTTGCTTCTGACCAGACCATGGTTCGAGCCGCAGCCTGGAGACATTCGGTATTCATACGCCCATAGCGTCGCCTCAATTTGACTTGAGAAAGCGGAAGAGCACAGCCGAATGGGCACGTGGTGGTCACTTCTGCCTAGCGGTGCACCTATGGCAGTGATCCTGATGACATTCCTGCTTTTGGTAAACACAAGGTGCTGAGAGAGTTACCCAGTCGCCTTCGGATGGAATCGGTGACGTGCTGGGTGAGTGCCAATTCATGCATCACCTCTAGTAGCTCATCCCCAAAGCTGCCAACTGGCGCATACTCCATCTTCCATTCGATCTCAGGAGCATTGAAATCCTTCAAGACAAAAACCCTGCTTACCCGAGTTGTTGTGTGCCGCAGAAAATCTATCAACAACTCATTTTCGTCGATGACTGCGCTTGGGCTACGATAGACACAGAACTGCTAATCTTACTCCTGAGAGCTTGATTACACACCCGGCAGCCTGAATGTTCTCCGTGCACAGAGTATCCACGGTCGTCTGAGGAAAGTGGTCTGCCACGAGCAGTAGAGCACCACCTTCCAACCTATCCCCTGGACGATCGCACCGATAAGCCTGGAATCTTGGTGGACAGAAGCCCGCGATACAAAAATCAGACTTCAGCCAAGTCTCCGTTATGGCGAGGCAGTGCGTTTGGTTTGCCTCAGCCCGGAGCTCGGCCCACTTGTTCATTAGGCTGCAGGCGTTAGTGTAGTAAACACTGAGAGCCTGCACCCTTTTACCTCCTATTGCTTTTGAGGGGTTGCACTCGGGAGTTGCTCCCGGGTGACCTTCAAGTTTTTTACCTCTGGTCTTGTGGCGGAGTTTCCCTGCGGTTCCAAAGCCCCACTGTGGTCTTGGTGCCCTGGAGATTCACCCTCGGGCCATCTCCGGGAGCGGAGGTCGTTTTCCTGCGCGGATTCTCGTGCTCCACTCTTGCTACGTTGACGGACAGAAGCTTGGTGCTAAATTGCTGCCTGCAGCTCGATGAGCTAGGTGAGGCCGTTGTGTTATGTTCGCGGGGGTAGTCCGGCCCTATGGTTACCTGCTCTTCGGTCAACTTCCTCCCATTGGCGGAAGCTGCCACCATCAAGTCCCGATGCCTCGGGTTATGAAGCTCTACAAGGGTTGGCCTAGGTGGTAAGGCACTAGGTGCCTGTTGATCGCCCTGCCACTTCCCAAGGCGCAACACTCGCTTGACCTGCACCTCTGAGGGGATCTGAGCGAGTCGGATTATGTTTCTAGCTTGGTGTAGGAGCGTTTGCCTGCGGCTGCGCGTTTCTCTACAAAACGGCTCTGGGATGCCCCTGATAACGACACTTCTGTGTTGGTAAGGGCCTCAAGCCTGTGCAGGGAGTCTTTCAGGCTGGTGGTTATTTCGGCGAGCTTCGCAATGGCCTCCTCGTAAGCGTCCATGCGCGCATCAAGTGCCCCTTTCCCTGGTGGCAAGTGAGACTGGGTAGCCTTGTTGGTTCCCCGCGTGTTTCCGGCGGCTTGCACACTAATCCCTGCGGCTGCCGGTTTGGCAACGCGTGCCCTAGCGCTGGACTTAACCCCTCGGCTTAGGGGTGCCGCTGACGTGTTTTGTTGTTTATCACGATCAGGCTTCCCCACTAAAATCCATTCCCGGTCGTTAACTACTCCAGGCTGGTTTCCCTCCCCAGGCATCAGGGTCTTTAGCTCGGGTTTACCTTCGATTATCTCCCTACTTGGGGTCGAATTGCACGGAGGAGCTTGTACTGCCGACAGTGAAGGAGAGTTTTCTTTCGGAGGCAGTGCTTTCGCCCTGGATATTCCGGTAGAGCTGGTGCAGTTTAGACAAACCCATTTCAGAAACTTGAGGACAGCGTAGTGTTCAACTGCCTTGGAAGTTAGTTTACTGCACCGTTGGTGAAACCAATACTGGAACAGATCACAACGGATGCCCTCAACCACCTCGAGAGAACACGCTCTTCTGGCACGCGGGTAGGGTGCAATANCCCTCTAGGAGGATTTCTCTGAGCTACCATGGCACTTGTCCAGATACACTTCAAGACTATGCCCGGTAAAAAAGGGATGTGTGAAGATGAAAACCCTACACAAAATGATAAACACCAAGGATAAGTAACTCTGGGTAGTACTCTCAGCAGTGAATGTTGTAGCCTAGTCGCTCACCTGGACGGGAATTCGTCACGTTGGTCCTTTCACCCGGGTTCCGCTCAGTTGTGGCTCCCAGATTCACAGTTCCGATCTCCAGCGCTAAAGGCTCGGTACAAATTACGCTTTCGCTTATTTTCCAACAGGAAATTGAACTCTCAAGTGTTTCCTTCTCTTATTGTTGGCTTAATTCTACAGCGGAACGTTCCACTCCAAAATTCGAAGCACGCGCGGTCAAGGTTAGGTCAGGTCAGGTTTAGTTCAGTTCAGTTCAGTTCAGTTCAACTCAGTTCAGTTCTCACAGGACAAATTGTGGCTCTTGCCAATCGCGCGTCCAGCTCCTTGTGTTGTCGGCGGTCTCGTTGGCTTCCAACAATTCGAGTCAATAGTAGTTTCTGAAAGGCAGAATGTTAATGTGCAGTATCAGATCCCTTATAGTATATGGGAAAGTAAAGCCTAACGATTAACTTTTAACACTCAACTTCAGGGAATACCACTGCCCAGCATTCATCTAGCCTTCTCTTGAAAGATTCGACGTTAATACAGTTAACCACTGCTTCAGGTAGTTTATTCCACAGTGGTATAACTCTGTTTGTGAAGAACCTAGCTTGCAAATGTAGTCTACAATGACTTCTTTCCAATCTGAGCTGATGGCCTCTCGTGCCCCTGGCAGGAACAAAAGAGAACACGTTTTGGAACCTTAGACCCGAAAGCTCTTTGACGATCTTAAATGTCTCT